ACTGGAGGACTAGAGATTTTTTATTCATATATATTTTCACCGTAATCAGGTATCTGACAATTTGATAAGTTGATTCACAAAGAAAGCTTTCCAGTGCTCTCCTTTTTTTTTTTTTCTTTTTTTTTAGCCTAAAGAGAGATTTGAACTCCTTTCAATATCTGGAATCTGAGTTGCTTACCATGGTGGCCAAATTTGGACCAGTTTCCAGGTTATGTGGGAGTAATATCTAAACACTCATCCAATCTTCTATACAAAACACACTAGTGGTCGCACATGTTGCGCACTACAAGATCTGGTTCCTCAACTCTATCTAAGCCGTTTTCTCCGTTGATTTTTGCGAGTTCTGTCGACGACCTAAGAAGGCTCAACGAAGCTTATTTGTCGTTGTAAGGTGGCTATGTTCGGTACCTGTCTGAACATGAACTCTTCTACTGTTTTGTGCAAGGGGAACACAGTCCGGCCAACCCCCCCTAAACTCAGCATGATTGTGGCCGAACACTATTAAGAGGTGGGTTGAGTAAAGTGTGTTTTTTAGGTTAACAGATCGAACTGTTTATCAGAGTACATTTGTTTGGTTTTATTTTGAATACCCCTTGTGGCCCACCTAATCCCCCGAATTCTGTTTCATCGACTCACAAACTGGTTACAAATACAATTGTTATATGTATTGACCACGCTTAAAACATAGCCTTCAATTTAAATACAAAACACATTAAAGTACATGTAATATATTCAACAATCCTGAAATATACAATTTGTGTTTGCAATTAGCTCTAAAAGCACAGGGTTTTATCGATCCGTGTTGAGTAGTTGTTGAAGTGCGTAGCTTCATGTCTACGCTCACTCATAATTGTTAAAAATCTTTCTCGTACATTGAAGAGGTTTATGTTAACAACTTAATGCAATAATTGGAAAACTGTTTATTTGGTTTGCCCTGGATGAACACAGGTCACGTTCCAACCTTTTTGTGTCTATATCCAAACTTCGTGTTTAACACGGCATAATAGTGGTAATAAAGGCGGAACAGGCGTATGTGAAATAAAGAACGTGAAAAGATAAGCCGGTAAAGTGCACGCGATATTCTGTAAACTGTATGAAGTTACCGCCACTACATTTTTCTTGTAGGTGAACGATTTTTTTTTTTTATCCCTACGTATAAGTTGAACCTGAGCTTTCATAACTCTGGTGAAAATTACACGTGCTTTTGAAAAATCAAATAAGTATTATTTTACAAGATCCTCTTTTTGTGTTGTTGTTGTTGGTGGTGGTGGTGGTGGTGACGTTGAGTTTACACGTGTTATCTTACAGAAAGACTCTGCACCAATACTAAGTCGCAAATACTTTAAAATTTTCAGAGCTGTAATTGTAGTTGGTTGATTTTGTACAATGAACTGCTTTCCGCCGCGAGGATTTTACCCAGAATTATAGCGTTATAAGCCACAGAGGGAGAGCTGTAATGTGGATGGTTGATTTTGTTTCAGTACAAACCTATACAATGAGCTACCTGCACTGCTTCCTTAGCGAGGATATAACCTAGAATTTTAGCGTTACAAGCCACAGTGGAAGAGTTGTAATGTAGTAGGTTGATTCTGTTTTAGCGGAAACCTGTACAATGAGCTACCTGCGTTGCTTTCCGCCGCGAAGATCTAACCCAGAATTCAAGAGTTATAAGCGCTGATCCGTACCGCTAAGCCATAGATACAGAGTTTGGATATGTATAAAAGGTAGAAGTCAGTGACTGAAAGTTCAACAAAAAATAGAGTTATTATCTAATTTACCTTTTTCTAGCGCCGTCTGGTGGATAGAAGTATGCTTAGAATTCTCTTACTTGCTTTATAAACAATGAACAATCTCTCATTTACTAGGCGGCAGTGTTGGAAGAGTTGTTGTTTTCTTAACCAGAAATTCTAACACGGGTACTAGGCGGGCAGTGTTGGAAGAGTTGTTGTTATATCATGTAATTGAATGTGTGTCTTGATGTCACCAAATGACACTTAGAACATGTCACCGGATGTGTGTTTTGACGTCACCAAATGACACTTAGAACATGTCACCGGATGTGTGTTTTGATGTCACCAAATGACACTTAGTACATGTCACTGGATGTGTGTCTTGATGTCACCAAATGACACTTAGAAGGTGTCACTGGATGTGTGTTTTGACGTCACCAAATGACACTTAGAACATGTCACTGGATGTGTGTCTTGATGTCACCAAATGACACTTAGAAGATGTCACTGGATGTGTGTTTTGACGTCACCAAATGACACTTAGAACATGTCACCGGATGTGTGTCTTGATGTCACCAAATGACACTTAGAAGATGTCACTGGATGTGTGTTTTGACGTCACCAAATGACACTTAGAAGATGTCACTGGATGTGTGTCTTGACGTCACCA